ATAATCCCAGCACTGGGAATGCTAATGCAGGAGGATCATAACCTTGAGGCCAGTTTGGCTACAAAGCAAGACTGTCTCAACAACAACAACAATAACAACAAAAAACAAAACAAAACAAAAACTCCAAACTAAACAAAGCTATAGACACAGATATGAACATACAGGCAGATGTTTGTATACACACACACACACACACACACACACACACACACACACAGATGCATAGCCACCACACAGGCACAGACGAACACCAAAGTCAAACAACATTTTAGCTAGAGAGAATCTTAGAAGTCTTTCAAATATTTATCTCCTGCAGCCCAGAGAAGTGAAAGAATTAATAGCTATTTCATCTTTTTTTCATCTTTCTTTGAGACAGGGTTTCTCTGTATAGCTTTGGAACTCACTCTGTAGACCAGGTTGGCCTCAGACTCACAGAGATCCACCTGTCTCTGCCTCTTGAGTGCTGGGATTAAAGGCGTGCACCACCACCGCCCAGCTATTTTATCATTTCTTCCCTCCTACCCTCCTGTTCTTTTCCTACCTTCTCTAGACTATAAGTCTAGATCACTGATCTAAAACCCTTCTTCTTAGACTGGACACGGAAATGTATGCCTTTAATCCTAGCACCCAGGAGGCATAGACAGAAGATTTATGTGAGTTCATGGCCAGCCAGGTCTATAGACGAGGTCCAGGATAGCCAGGGCTCCATTGAAAGATCCAGTTTCAACACGCCCCACCCCCAAAGAATGTTTTCTTGTACTCTGTAGGCATTTAAAGCTTTATATTTTACTAAATGAATATTGCTTTAGGAGTTTCCCTAAATTTTGTTGCGCTTTGTGTTTTCCAATTTTTCTTGAGATTCCATTGACTTGTGGGTAATTCAGAAGCATGTTGTCTAATTTTTTAAATATTTGGAGATTTGTTGAATATCTTGTCGCTGGTTCCCAATTTAGTTCTGCTTTAGTCAGGAAGCATAACCTGCAATACTCCTGCTTGGAAATCTACTTGGACTTACTTTGTGTCCCAGTGTATGGGCCATCTTGGTGAAGAATTCACATTCACTTGAAAAGAATTCGTATTCTGGCGTTTTCAGGGGGTGTTTTTTTGTTTTGTTTTGTTTTGTTTTTCTAACAGTATCAGTTGGGTCAACACAGTTGACACTCTTGCTCAAGCCTTCTACATATTTAATCATTTCTTTGTCTTTTTAATTTATTATTTGTGAGTGTGTGTGCTTGTGTGCACGATGCCATTGGCATGTATGTGCAGAGGTCAGAGAACAACTTTCTAAATTTGTTTCCTTTCACTGAGGGCTTTAGAGATTGAGCTGAAGTACTCGGGCTGCCAGGCTTGCTCAGCAAGTGCATTGGCCTATTGAGCCGTCTCAACATTCTGATATAGAATCAAATTCTGATATATAATCAAACCCAGGACCCCACAAATGCTATACCAGCACTTTACTGCCACTTTGAATGCCCAGCTGTTTTTATTTTTACTTATTTATTTAATTTTTGAAATCTATTTTATTTTTTAGGGTCTCTTGTAGCCTTGGCTGTCCTAGGACTCTCTATGTAGCCTCGAACTCACAGAGATACACATGCCTATACCTCCCTCATGCTGGGAATAAAGGTGTGTGCCACCAGAAGGCCATTGCTTTTTGTTTGTTTGTTTTTAAAGTATATTTATTTTGATCTTTGTTTTTTGTTTGTTTGTTTGTTTGTTTTGTTTTCTGAAGCAGGTTTATCTGTGTAGCTCTGGTTGTCCTAGAACTTGCTCTGTAAACCAGGCTAGCCTTAAATTCAGAAATCTGCCTGCCTGCCTTGAGTGCTGGGATTAAATGTATGCACAACTGACTTTGTTCTGCTCCTTATTGGGAGCAAACTCTCCAACTTTCCACAAAATACCACATTTTAGGCAGTGGATACTGGCTTATGCCTATAATCCCAGCCTTGGGGGAGACAAAGGCAGAAAGGTTACCATAAATCTGAAGCGTGGCAGAAAGGAACTACATAGTGAATCTGAAGGCAGTCTGGAGCTACAAGTGAGACTTTGTCTTATAAAGCAAAGCAAATGTTTAAAAAGCTCCCAACACCCCCCCCTTCAAAAGAAGAAAACCCCATCACATTTTATATCATTCCATTGCATCCAGAAGATGCAAATATGTAGAGGCAGATTTTTGCAAGGCTTGGCTTTATTCTGTAGATGTGTGTGTGAGAGGGTGTACGTATGACTTCCTTAGCCTATGTCAGTACATCTTTAACCTATTTTAGTCTACTTATAGTTACTATTACACCAATGTAGCACTTCCCACTTACACATTCCATTTTCTACTTCACACCAGATACTTCCAATTCACAAATCTATTAACCCAGGACAGCATACTTTCATTTCCCTCATTTCTTGTGCAATTGTCAAACATCTTGAATGTGTTACATAGCCCAACATATAGGGCTATTTTTCTTTAGTCAATTGTCTTTTATAGAAATTCCAGAAAGGGACAACACCTTCTATGTTCTCATTAGACCATCTTTAACACTAAAACATGGCATCACTGTAGCCTCTCGTGGACACTGGGGTATTCAGTTTTTGCCCACTATTTCTTTTGTCTGGACTAGACCTCTCACATCTTCCAGACCTGCTCAGTTTCCAGAATTTTGTCATATAGCGGTTGTCCTCTAGAAAGCCATTATTATCTCAACTTGCACATGCCAGGGGAGTCCTCAGGACAAAGTCTACAGTAAATCCACGTACAGACTATGGCATACTCTTAAGCCTAGTTCCCTCATCAGTGGTTCAGTGCCCCAATCATTCAAGCTGCTTCAACGGCCTTAAACTCTGCATTTTGCCACTTCAGTTCAGCAGGCTTCTGTGCTCTACTTTTGGTCCACTTCCCTGCAATGCAGTCATGCAACTGTGTCCAAGCAGAGAACTGGGGAGGTGGGGTGGGCTCACCCTCAGAGCTCCCATTCTGTGATGACTGCATCTCCCTCAGTGACTCAGTGCTCTGGTGGAAAGCCAGGGGCCACTGCCAGCTTTGTGAGAGAAGTCTCCCAAACATTGTGGAGTGGGGAGAAGTCACCCTGATGTGCCTTACCTGAAATTTTTGATCCATAGTCTCTGTGAACTTAATAAAGTGTTGTTTTTATCTCACCAAATCTTGGAGGGTAGGTTTTTGGGGTGGGGGTTGTTTTTGTTTTGTTTTGTTTTTTTTTGCTTGCTTGCTTATTTGTTTTTGACTTTTTGATACAAGGTGGTGTGTATCCCAGGCTGATCTCAAATTCACTATGTTGCCAAAGATGACCTGAACTTCTGATCCTCTTGCTTAGACCTCCCAAGTGCTGGGATTATGGGTATGTGCCTTGCTGCTTGATTTTATGAGACATAATTTGTCATAGCCATAGTTACCTTAACACCGTTAGGAGCTGCAGTCCTCTGCTGTCTATTGGCCAATGCTGGAAATAACTGCTTTATATGCTTTGTTCTGTGCTATTGTTGGAGAGCTAGACTCCTGGCCAGGAGCTCTAAATCTGAAGCTCAGTGCTCCAAGATAATGATACAGATAATTCTAATTCTAACATCAACATTAGAACAACTTCTTTGTACGGACTGCTTCCTATGTACTGGGTACTAGGCTGAGCATTTTAGATACATAGTTTTGGTGAAACCATACAACAATCTTGTGATCCGGGCATTATGAGTGCCTACTGATTAAGCCACTTGCCCTGGTGTACATGCAGGTCTGGAAGCCCATGTAAGCAATAGCCATTGGAACCATGCACAGAAACACAGATAGACTCTCACACACAATTGTATATACTCACATGTGCTCTTGTATAGACACACAGAGATGTACACCCACTACACATTTCCTGAGCATTTATGCTTTTAAAACATTTTTAATGCCCAGGGTTTAAAATACCCCCCCCCAATTTATGTTAAACAGATTGAAAGGGACTCAGTCTGTTGGATATTAAGTTTCCCAAGCATACCCCAAGATGAAATTCTCTCCATCTGGGGCCACAAGCATAGGCGGCAGAGATACTCTGTTCCTCTGCCAGGGATTGCCTAGAGGGAGGTGGGGTGGGACTCTTAGCAAGATATGGCTTAGCAGGCAGAAGTGCAGAAGCCTTCTCCTGGGACCTCATGGCTGCACTTGATGCTGTAAGAGTAAATTCAGAGAGACAAGCAAATCTTTATATGCGAAATCGGAGTGCAAAGAGAAGGGCTGACTGGGTTGGAGAACGGGTTGCCTGTTAAGACAAGGTCATTTCCAGATATCCCCAAGCCCCGATGGGGGCTAGAGAATGGAAGGAAGCAGGGCAGGGGCGCAAGTCCCGGCACAGAACCTGGACTCAAATGTGAAAGCTTATTTCCACCTCTTCTCACAATAGTGGAGGTGAAACAGAACAGAGATGCTTGTGTGTGTGTGTGTGTGTGTGTGTGTGTGTGTGTGTGTGTGTGTGTGTGATTAGTGTTAGTACAATCGAAAGTAGAACATAGACCCCTTATACGGATCCCCATCCCACCTCACAAAGGTTGAGAAAAGTGAAATGAGAATTCTGTCTTTTTTCACTTTTGGTCCTAAAGCACTATTGAAAGTACCTTAATACGAAGTTAAACTAGTTTTGAGCAGCTTAAAAGGCTTGCTTTTGCTAGGCAGGGCAGCGTAGCCAGGAGGCCGCAGTTGCTCTGGCCAGTCAGCAGTACCCTCTGTAAAACACCCAAGGGGCAGGACATTCCATGGGTGTCATAGTCTCTCCGAAGCTGAGGCTAAGGTGCGGTTCTCTCTAGGCTCTAGCCTGCCTGCCTGTCCAGTCTGGTCACTGACTCTTGACCGTTAGTCACTGTGGGACCCTAAGCCTGTGTGGTCTCACACAGCTCTGGCACAGGGGAAAATCCTGTCCCGTCTCTTTGTGGAAAAGCTATCAAAGCAAGGGCACTCAGCTGGTCGTTAGGAGGGGACCGCGGCTGGCGTCCCCCTCTCCGCCAGGCACGCACCGTACCTCCGCCTCCTGGCGCAGCTCCGGGTGTCTTAGCCGGGCAGGCTGTGCATCCTGGCAGCCCCACAGCAGCAGAGGCAGGGCGCGCAGCAGGAGGCTCAAGCCAGCCACCATCACCTCACGCGCTGTGGGGCACTGGTGATCAGCTGCACCCGACTCCGGTGAATGCCAGCTCGTCGTGGTTCACGAGCCGACCTGCCAGTTCCCGGGGCTCTCTAGAGCTCTGCTCCACCGCCGCCCGAGGTCGTCCCGCACAGGCGATGCCTGCTGGCTGGTCGGCTGCCCTGAGGACCGAGGGGGCGGAGAGGGGAGGGAGTGCCTGGAGCCGCCCCACCCAACAGCCTAGCAGCTCGCTGGAGCCTCTTCCGCCCGCGGGGCAGCCTGGCTGCCACTCTCATCCTTGGTCCTAGTCTCTCCAGGAAGGGCCGGGGCGGATAGGTCTCCTAGTCCTTTGGTTACCTAGGACTTTGGAACAGACCGGTCCTGGCCTAGGCGAGGCTTGTGGTTTCAGTCGGGTGCCAGGCGAGGCTCTTTGAGGGAGGAGAAGCCAGGTCTGGGGTCAGGGAGCTGGGGGCTTGAGTTTGAGATGGGCTCCTTTGGAAATGCTCTGAGACACGCCCCAGTCAAAGCTGTGTAGATTTGGGCTACTCACCCTTTCTGAGTCCTTATCATGGGAAATAGGGATAGGAACAAAGATCTTGGGGTCTGGGGAAAGATTCAGTGATAATGCTTGTATTAAGTAAGCAGGGAGCCTGGTATCACGTAGAACATAATGTCAGGATACTGTGGTGCCACCTTTGGCAAAGGATCATCTATTTCAAGTGCCGCTTTCTTCATCAGTAGGAGAGTAAATGACATTTAGTTTCCAGAATAGCATTAAAATGAAGGGCATACGTGGCAAAAGAGCCCATAGAAACCTATTCAGTGTATAAGAACAGAATGGAAAGATTTCTCCGACAGCCTTTGCTACACACATACTGAGCAAAAGTGAACTCCTTCGTGTCTGCCTTTGAGAGTGAACGCAGGTTGCTTTGTCAGTCCACTCATCTGGAAGATGTAAAATGGGACCAGGACTTGGTCCTTCTGGGATTAGGTGTGGGTTGTAAAAAAAAAAAAAAAAAAATCTGGAATCTATTAAATGCTAAACAAAAGTAATGCAGTGTTCTAAACCCCGAGGCTCAGGGTCTCGATTGCTCTCGAAATTTTGTGCTATTAGAAAAAGACACTACTGGAGTGGAGGAACTGGACAAAGTTCTTTGAGTACACATCTCCATCTTGTAAACAGGCACTCCTTGTGTGGCACTAATTGGAAACAGCACCCTCCTTCCACCACACCTTCCAACCAACTAATGAAAGGGGGCACCCATGTCTGGGGAGATCGAATAGAAACAAGCACTCCTCTGAGACAACAAATGAGAAAAATCCACCCTTCCCTGGGGCAGACAATCCCTGTGCCAGGGAGCAGCTGGGGGGCAGAGTTTGGAGATGGGTTTCTTTGCTTAACTATATCCTGCAGGGGATCCTCCTCAGAAATGCTGCCTGAGGCCTGAGCCTTGCCCTCTGAGAGCTTCCAGCCTACCTACATGGCCCACAGTGTAAATTCTCAGTTAAGAACAAAACAAATGGTGGACAAGCTTTGGTGGCCCACAGGTGAGGTTCTGAAGGGAAATGGGACAGAGCTGTTAAAGACCAGCAAATAAAAACACAATCTTCAGTTAAACTTCAATATTACATTGATAGTTGTCTAACACAGATGGGTGTCATTTGGAACAGGCATACTAAAAAGGGATTAGAGGACAAAGTTCAACTAGGCATCTTATAATTTAACTGGCAACCATAGGGTGTAGGTATGAATTTTGAATCTGACAATGGCACATGGTAGCCTTGACTAATGTGAGGGTTCTAATGGGCCTGAAACATTTCTCTGGGTCAGGGAGCTTTGGGAAGTAGCACTAAGGGACACATTCTGAGAGTAGACTCTGAGCAGGAGTCAGGTCTGAGCTGGCCAATTCTTTCTCCAGTTAGTCTCTCTATTTTCTTTCTTGGCACATACCAGACTCCATTTCAGCTGCACTACTGAGAAAGGGGGAGAGGGAGCTGTGGGTCTCTCTAGATATCCATGCATCTGGAAGAATGCAGGCTTGGCCGCATAGAGAGATGATTCTACCTTTCTATGAATCCCAGGTTAATCCTGTCCATGGACCTTTCATACTAGTAGCACTGCTGAGTCTGGGAGCTACCTTGTTCCACTTTACCTTGTCTCCCTGGTTGTGCTATTAGGGGAACAAACAAACAACAGCAACAACCCCCCCAAAACCCCTTCCCCAATGTGCCACACACATCAGGGGCCAGAGCAATGGCTTAGTGGTTATGAGCACTTACTGCTCTTGCGAAGGACAGCAGGTCAATTTCCAGCACCCATGCTGGGTAGCGCTCACAACTGCCTATAACTGAAGCTCCAGGGGATGTGATGCTCCCTTCTGACCTTTGAGGGCATTAGCATCCATGTGCACACACCCACATGCACACACACAATTAAAAATTAAATATTTTAAAATAAAGGCCTTAAGTATTTTTTTTTTAATGTGCACGGATGTTTTCCCTGTCTTTGTGTATGTATGTGTACCACATGTATGCAGTATCCTTGGAGGGCAGAAGAGGGCATCAGATCGAGTAGAACTGGAGTTACAAACAGCTGTCAGCTGCCATGTGGGTGCTGGAGATGAAACCCGGTGCTCTGCAAGAGAAATCAGTGATTTTAACTGTGGAGCCATTTCTCCAATCCCTAAAAATAAATCTTTTCTGGTGGGAAGCCATGCAGTAATGACATGTTCAGATCCCAGCATTTGGGAGGCGGAGACAGGTGGATATCTGTGAGTTCTAGACCAGACTGGTCCACAGAGCCAGTTCCAGGACAGCCATGGCTACAAAGAAAGACTCTGTGACTTCCTTATGAGAAAGCTACTATTCTATGCATTCTTATTTTAAAGGATGAGGAAAATGAGGCTCCAACATGCCATCATTTGCCTAAGGTCACAGTTCTAGTAATGGAGGCAGGATTCAAACCTGAATGATGTGACTCTAGAAAACAGCACTATATCATTCATCCAGTGAAACGCATAAAGTGTGGTTCTCAGGCCCCTCACAAAAACACTTGCTAAAAATTCTGATTCCTGGGCTGAGCTATAGCTCAAAGGTCAAAGCCCTGGGTTCAGTCTCCAGAACACAGCTCTCCTTCCCCCTTCCAGAATCATTCAGATTCCTGAGGCTTACTGCAGACTTAAACAATCACTAAACACTAAATACCAGCGTCCAAGAGGAAATCAGCTCTGAGTTTTCCAATGGTCTTGTTTCTGTTTTCCTTCCTACCCCCGTCTTTGCTGTGTGGTTTCTGATTCTGAGCCATCAGTGCTGGTAGCATTCACCACTCATCTTCTTCAAAGAGAGCTGCCTCCCCTCCCTTCCTCCTGTAGAACTTGGGGTTTGGCTCCACTCCTTAGACCCTCCCAGTCCTCCCAGAGTGGACAGGACTCTGGAACTCGTGCCAGGTCTGGGCATGCTGTGTGCCAAGGGGAGTAGCTGTCAGCGGCCACTCCTCCTGTTCTGGTAGAAGGTCATAGCACATCTCTTGAATCAGGCAAGATGTTTAAACCTGGACATGGAACCTTTATGCCTCAGTTTCTCTCTATATAACAGGAACAACCCGGGTTGTCTTTGACCTTTCCTCCTTCCCAGGAAGTGTGCAGAACACAAACAAGGACTCTATCAGAAGGGATTTGGGGCTCCCAAGTAAGGCATTCATTCACAGGAGGGCCAAGGAACCCCAAGAATAGGAAAATCTAAGAACTAACAAGAACAGGAGAAGCTGGAGTGAGCTGGAGAGGCTTCCCCTGGGTGGTGAGGGCTTTGGTGGAGATACGACTTATCACTGGTGGCCTCTGTGCTTTTAGTGACACAATTTCCCCACTTTCTAGCAATCATCTCTGCCTATAACAGAGGGAAGTCCCCCCTCTCCAGCAAAGGACATGGCCTTCTCAGTCTGGGGCACCTTCACAAGTGCACCTGCCTATATACTTTTGGATCTCTCCTCTCTCCCCTCCCACTCTTCCGCCCCATCTCTGATTTGGGAAAAGCAAGGCAGTTGGAAAGAGCCAGACCGGGCCTTGCATCTTAGCTTTTTCACATTGTGTGACCTTTGTAGATTAACAACTCTTGAGTTTCTGCCGTATCTCAAGTAAGACAAAGAGAATTCTTGTCTTTTTTCCATGCTCATGACAAGCAACGAGGAGTGAGAGCAAGATGATTAGTAACCTGAATTCTGTCAAGTACTGGTGATGGGTTGCACAGACACAGGTGTTCACTCCTGTACTATGAAGTTTGTACACCTGGGCCCACTCATATCCCAGAGGACACACTGCAGAGCAATCACAGAACTTATTCCCTAAGCAGTGCTCCAGTCTGGAGAGGCCTCACTGCCCCATCCCTCATCACAGCTTAGCAAAGGCATCAGTCTCTTCTTGATTTGTTTTTTACTCACACCAGGACCCTAGGGACCTGTGAGGAACACAATAAAAGCTGGGCCAATCTGGCACTGTGCCCCACTTCCCTTCCACATAAAGGCTGTCTGCCCGCCAGGCATCTGGCAGGCAAGACTGGGCTGTGACTTGCTCAGCATCTGCAGCTTTGCTTAAGAGACCTGCTAACAGGAAAGTGTCTGGTTCCTTTCCACCCTAAACAGGAAGTGCCTGCCACGGTGGGAGGATGGGGTAGCCTGGTATTTATAAGGAGTCTCCTGTTACAGCTGGAAGGTCTGCTCTCGAGGAAGGCCGGAGGGACTGGGCCCCAGGGACACCTCCCTTGCAAGGGTGGAGTGCTGACAATGGCTGCACACTGCTTGTGGCCCTTGGCATAGAGCAACCATCATTTTTTTAGCAAACACTCATGAGACACTCACTTGTGCCTCCTGGGAGACATAGGACAGTTCTAGATAAGTAGGAGGAGTTAATACACAAGCCAGAAAAGGCAGGTCATTTCTTTGTGGTGCATTCATTGTACACAGGATATCCCCCCCCCACTTCCTTTTTAAAAAATGCATACTGCTGGGGCTGGAGAAATGTATGGCTTTAGTTGTTAA